AAGTTTTACAAAAGAAACCTGTTGTGGCATTGGAGTTTCTCTTGGATCCTGAAAAGTTGAGTAGTCAGTAACTTGATTAGAGCAACAAGTTACAACAGCAAACCTGTTACACAAATATATTTTTGAAAACGTACCTGTTGTGATATTGGACTTCCAATTGGATCCTGAAAACTTGAAGTTGATAAGATCATTACAACAACAAATTACAATAGCAAACCAGGTAAAGAAGGAAGTTTTTGAAAACATACCTGTTGTGCCAACGGAGTTTCAATTGGATCCTGCAAACTTGAATGTTAGCAATCATAAATAAAGTGGTGCAAGAGCCATAAGAAACTAACATCAAACTAGTAAAACTAACCAGTTTTGGCAACATATTTAATTACACATGAACTAGTAAAACTAACAAGTTCTTGGCAACGTATTAAAGTAACAAGGCAGTACCGTTTACTAGCAACACGGACATTTATAAATATCTTTGATATAAGCAAAATGATTTCGACACACTATATATATATATATATATATATATATATATATATATATATATATATATATATATGGAAAATAGATTCTACCACCTAGTGGTAGTTACCTCCTACCCTGCTACCGTTGGACCCATCAAGATTCGTGCATGCTTAACGGGTATATGTGGGAGAAAAATTAGTTGGGTTTTGTTACTTTCTGCCCGTTTGGATCTTAACTATATGCCCTATGTTTCAGGTCGCACCAAACTGGAGGATAAATCATCCTCTCCCTCTAATGTGCTGCCAAAATAAATTTAGTTATTTGCCACCGAAAGGAATGCAGCCGGCCATCCACCGATCTGCGGTGAAAAAGGTCTACAAGTTTCATTGTTCATCATTGTGATTTAGAGCAGCGAAGCCATCAACGTCCTGCCCATATGTTTCAAATTATGGAGAACAATACTCCGCCAGTGCATTAGAAGATGCGCGTATATGTCTTGCTGATCTAATCTCTTGCTATAGTTGTATCACATGCAGTTCTTACTTTTGAGATTGAAATCTACTTTTTCTTCCTGCAGGCTGCATAAAGACTCGCAACTTCCATAATCAACGATCTGTTTTCCGCTGCTTGCCGCCGCCGTCTCTATTGAACAATTAGCTGCCCCCCTAATTAATGATCTATTCTGTAAGTTTCAGGACCAGCGTAAACGGATCACGTGGACTACGGCAAGAATTTACAAGGAGCTTCATACGGAGAGTGCTCGTCACGGCAGCGGAAACAACAATGTACAACTACTGCCGACTGCTAGGTAACTGGTTCATAGTCCTGGCGCGGTGACGACGACATACATCAGCACACAACAGAGGGCGACTACTTTGGCCGCCGCCACCGCGGTGATGTACGGTTGCAGAAGATATGTTGTCACAACAATTTCCATAGTGAGCCAATGTGAGCCACATGCAACGATCGAGAAAGATAATAGTCTCTCTGTATATAAGTGCTTATTCAGTATAAGATCGAGAATTCCATGCATGGATGAACCAGTTGTACCGTTGGACAAACCGATGTGAGATACCGTGAAATATACTATTTACTTCATACTGCCTTCTTTATTATACTACATACTGTCATTCTTCAGTATACTCCATACTACATTCTTTATACTCTCCCTCGTCAGATGAATATACTCCTCTCATGAATAAACTCACTCCCATAGTGGTACGTCATGGACACATACACACATAAACACATACTACATACACCATCCTTGATTGTACTCTCTTTCAATTTCATTGACACACTCCTTCTCTTCATACTCCAAACCTCAGGTAAAGCACATACTCCATACCCGAGCAAAATAGTATACACCCTATATATTGTAACGCCTCTATCCACTCCAAGACATACTTCATACTCTCCTACTCTATACGGCTATGGAGTATATTATGTCATATTTTTTTTGTATATAGTATGTGCAATATCATTTGGAAATATGGCATATAATATAAATTATTCTGGACTATAGAGTATGTATAATAATGGGGATCAAAATAAATATACTACATACTATAAATTATTTTGGAGTATCGAGTATGTATACTACGATATTTAAGGGAGAATATAATATGACTCAAAAAAAGGGAGAACATAATATATACTGTGATTCCCATCGAAACAGTTAGAATATATTATACGACTTTTTTAAACTATATTGTATAGATACATAAAGATCTATGTATACCTAGATTTTTCGGGGGCAGTACGTCAAAGCTAGCTAGCCTTATCCATGCAATGAGATTGGGATGCGATGCATGTGGCCATGGTATTAGCAGTTTGTTGAACTAACCATGCCCAACTTTAGTGATTATTTAATTAAATTATTAATTATAGTGGAATGGTTGCGGGTCTTTTCATCCACTAGCCTGTTTAGCTTTGGCGTACGGGAGGACAGATGGCAACTAGGCAACATAGGGGTAACTACCACTGCTTGTAGATAAAATTTGTCATATATATATATATATATATATATATATATATATATATATATATATATATATATATATATATATATATATATATATATATATGCATTCTACTATCGGGTGTAGCTACACCCATTTCTTATATACTACCATGTGATAATATATACTCTACTTTATTATTTTTATTATGTTCATATACTATATCTAAGATACTCCAAAGTGAGTTATATGAAAAAATTGCAAGTGAGCTCATAATTGTATTGTATTTGTGAAATACGTACATATTTGTACGTGAAATAAAGTATGCACAAAATATGGTACATGCTACCAAAAAAGTAGTATATATACTACCTAAACATTCTTATATACTACATATTACACGTACATACTCTCCGATATAATAGATACTACCTAGAACGTACGAAACAAAAGTGGGAGTAACTACACCCGGTAGTAGGAAAAAATTGTCATATATATCATAACGTAAATTACACACGAATTTTGCTGCACCCTAGAAGTACATGTGACCAGCTATCTACGTGATTAAGTGGCTATTTAAGTTCAGTCAAATAGGTAATTCTTAACAGTAAGTATCAAACATATAGATAGGCACAATCTATAATAGGATTTACACGCTATGGCATTATGTAATCAGTAGCAAACTAAATTAAGCCAAGCAACGTAATTAATTTTTTTTGCAATCAGTGGCTAACTAAAATTCCGAGAAGCGGGTAACTGAACATATACTAGCTCTTTGTACAGGCATACTGCAACTTCTTTTTTTGCTAACAAGGTTCTACAAAGGAGTCCATTGCATCAATTTTTTGGATACGCAGTCACAATACTTCTTTCTTCCCACACTGCATTGGTAAGTCGAATGGTTAATCTGATAAGATGGTGCGTCCTTGATATGTTATATGAGGATAGGTTGTCAGACTAGTTGTAGCAACACATATCACACTGGCTTTTACTGTATATTTTATGTGATTATATTTGACATATTGAGATCTAAGCAATCTACAATAAGATGAAAAGACTGGCATCCTTCACATTATTCGCGAACTCGGTTCATAGAAATAAGCAATTCAACCATTTTGTGGGTAAATCAAAAGCGTCACTGGAATATTTTTCACTACTCCAATCATACACACAAAAAAGGGCGACGCCACCGTAGGGGCTGGTATGGGCGGCCGCCTCGGGTGGCTGGAAAGTGTGCACCTAGTTTGAGTCGTCCAGGTTGGCCCAGGCTAGTTTTGTTCGTCCCAGCGCACGAGCAAACAATGTAAAAAAATGAAGAAAACCATTTCAATTTGGATGGGACAATAACGTAAGTGCAAGGCAAGCCCTATAGCAGGCTCGCAGCCCAAACGAGCGCTTCCCATATCGATCGACAGCAGGAAAAATCCTCAATTCGTTCGCTTCAGCCTCCAGTCTGGTTCGCTCCTAACCTAGCCGCCGCTGGACAGACCGACACGGCACTTCCTCGCACCCTCGTTGGACGCCAGTCGCCGGGCTTCAGACGAATTGAAGGACAAGAAGATGAAGATCTAACCCTGGGTGTAGCCTGCGTGGGAGGCAGCGGTGGCAGCACGGACATGGCATTGAGCTTGCGCAAACGGGCAGTCGCAGCTTGCAAGAGCAGCATGCGCAACGAGCAGGTACATCACATCCCTGATTATATCTAATTCAACTTTTCAATTTCTGGCCAATAGTTAAACCCGACGATGTGTAAAACTGCTTGTATATTGGGAATCTATAAGAAAATGAAACCAAGTTCTGCTTATTTTATAACTCCCTCAATCAATACTGAACTGACTGAACCTGATGTGTCTGTTCAATTTTGGGTCTGATAGGGTTCGATTTGGGGGAAGATCAGTGATTATGCCTAAAAGTTGTACATGATATATGCATGCTTTGTGTTGAACAATTATTTAGTAGTGTGGTTTAATCTCTGTTTGTTTGTTAGTGTTGCTGCTACTGTTATGCCAATGACTACGTGTGCTCGGAGAAGAGGTTACCACGCCGCACGATCTTGCAGTTAACTAAAACAGCAAAATGTTGCCTCAGGGAAGCACAAACATGCAACCAAACACACTGCTAAATGCACTGCTTGTGTCTCTGCTCCCATTCAATCAAACCACATGCAAAAAATGGTCCTTGAATGGATGGCCTTAGTGGGACATTGAGGTGGACACTTTGCATATTCAGAGAATTGGGACCAGCTTCCTTAAGATGTGCACCAGACAGGCAGCATCCAGATGAGAAGAGACGATGCAATACAAAACAAAACAAAACTCAAAGTATGGACGCATTTCCTCATTTCATATCAGTTTGCTCCATCGACCACCAACAGTTTGTTGTAAGTACTACAATAATTGGCTCAAGTGGCCTGTATGACACATATATATTATTATCGGGTCAGGCTGCTACATTTGTGATCAATATCAAGTGTTAAAGAATGGACTATATAGCCCACGGCCAACCAAAGAACATTACTACTTTACAAACGAGGGGGAAGGGGAAGGAAAAAATTGTAGCATGGTTGACACCACATCAAACCACGAAAAAACTTAACGGCTGGCCTATTTCGAACACAGGAATTTCACAGGCGATCGTCGAAATCCCGTAGGAACATATAGGGGCCACGTATAGAGCTATAATAATCAGGAAGTAACGCCTAGATTCATGAGGGTGGGAATAGGCTGTAAAGCCTATGGCAACTTCACGTTGGCCAGGTCCCCCATGGACGATTTCACAGTCTCTTCCGCTGCAAAGTCCTGTAACATTCCAACACGCTCATCAGTTAACTTTGGTTAATTGTTTTAGCAAAAGAGCTCTGTGATAATACACGGATAGAATGATAAATAAACAACATTCTGTGCCTGACCATGGCATGAAATGACATGAATGAAAACAAATAAATGCGATAGCAGTACAACATGGTTGAGTACCTGCAGGCGCTGCATCAAGTACATCAAGAACAAATGCACAAACACCTGGTACAGGTATACGCAGATTCAATCAGGGATCAGCCTTAACATGATCTAAAATAAAACACACAGGATCAAAATTATGTTGTTCTTGCCAGATAGAATAGAAGGCTGACTCGGGCAACAGGATGCCGCCACAAAAATCTTGTCGCCCTCACAGCCCCTGAATCTAAAAACTTCGCAGCTTTTTGTAACTGGAACACCAAAAATGCCAAGCAAGGTAAAATATTAGTACTCTCCCACTATTTGTTAGGATTCTGCACTCCAGATTTCCATTGGACACATATACCTGATGATTTGCCATTGCCATGTGTCGATGATGCAGAGGAAGAGGCCTGACATATAAAAGGTAATTATCTAAAACTGTACTAGAACTTCCAAATAGAAGAGCACAGCTAAAACTTGGAAATCTCAAAGTACAATTTGCAACACATGGCTGCTTCTCTTTTGACCGGACATTCTCACATCATCAAAAAACTATGGCATGCTTATAAACAATATTTTCCTGCATGTTAAATAACGAAAAGAAAGCGGTCAACATACTCTAGCGCATTGATATCAGTATCTTCCTCCCATGATGATGCTGATCTGCGAGAAACCCTACTCCTTTCTGCTTCTACCTATCAAATGGAACACAAAGATAACAGAATGGTAAGAAGATAAGAACATCCGCAGGACAAAGTCTATAGCACAAGCAACATAGGAAGAAGAGAAATTATGAACCTGCACTTCATGGAATTGCTTCAATGATTTCTCCAGTTGGAACTCTAATGCGCCTTTTTCACTGGCCATAGATTCTAATTGTGTTTGCTTGTGGTACTGGAAGAAATAATGCATAGATAATGAATTAGCTCTCCTTTGCTAAAATGTCAATGACAGAAAAGGAAATTGGTATGCTTCAGCACATACCAGCAAATCAGTGAGCTCCCGGTATCTTTTCTCTAGCTCAACATGCTCCTAAAAAGAGACACATTTGCACAAGAAAAAGTAACCATTAAGTATGATCTGGTAACAAGGTGGATTGTAGTAAATGTTGCATTCATCCAGTTATCAGGTGGATAAATGTTGTTCACCCAGTTTTAACAAGAAAAGTGTGATTTGATTAGGATTAACAACCTGTCTAGAATAATGCTCTGCGTCTCGTCTCATTCCGGCCATTTCAACTCTCATCTTCTGCAACTCAGCCTACATCATACAAGTAAGGATGTTAACCAATAATAGTGCAAGACAGAGCATTCTGATTACTATAATAGAAACAACTCCATTGATACTTTTTACATTTTCTGTGATATTATACCTGATCATCATATTAGCATTTTTACCTAAACTTCCGAATTATTACTTGACAACTGATTCTTTGATATCTTATGAATTAAATAGTACCTCCAAGGATAATATCTTGCTTTCTGCCTCTCTTTGGCTTTGCCGTGCTCGCTCAACTTCCTCCTGCCATGCCTGTATCTGCTTTCCAAAAGCACAGCATCAAGAGAAACAAACACCAAAGTGTTACATTTCAGGATAGTGCACAATATGCTAAGTTCTATTATTTCAAAAGCAAAGATAAATAAATACAGATAGACATTTCTAGATAGGGTAGTAAATAGTTCCACAATATGAGTATCTCAGGTATGGAGTATGCTAAAAGTACAGCTCATATTAATCCCGTAAAGAAACCAAGGTTCTTTCATTTTAACCTGAAGAACCCCCAGTTATACTTTCACGGTTTCACCACCATTTGGAATCAGTTCCACACTATATATATTGTTATGCCTTGTTGTTACTTCTTTGCCGCTATTTTATCTGGCTGAGTGTCTGTGCAAAGATAGCTAATACTAATAGGAGGTGCTATCAACTTTTCTGCAGTTTGTGACCCAGACCGTGATCGCACTGCGGGTTACCTGATAGGTGTCAAAACATTTTCCATTTTCCCCCTCCTATTTCTGTCAACTGTATTTTTTTAGTAATGAGAAACGGGAGATCTGCTTTAGAAGAAAAAATTAACCTGAAGAGCTTGATTAGCATCTTCAGAAGGCTTTTTCTGAGCACGGCGATTACGAGCTTCCATTTCCTGTAGTTCTTGGTGCAGTGATGCACATTCAACCTGAAACAACCATGGTACCGATAGTTAATAGCAGAAACTAAACTGATCAGATATGACACACAGTGCGGAAAGGAATTTACCTCAAGTACAGCTACTTTGTGCTCGAATTCCATTGCTCTCGATGAGCTTTGATCAGCAGCTCTCTGTATGCCAACAGAACAGTCAAGATCAAACTGAATTTGCCAATGTTTCTTTAGTAGCAGATTGAAACACACACAAAAGTTTAATAGTACCACTGATTGTGTTAAAATCGGAGACCAGTCGGCTAAAATGTGACACCCATAGAATCTAAACTAAGTGACATTATTGCAAGTATAAGATTTGGATTAAATTGACATAAAACGGATAGGAGTTGAACAATTTAAACAAGACCTTAGAAATTAGTGGAAACATACTATAAATCGCACATATGGATTGAAGCGCAGCCCTGGAAACATAACAGTTACTAATTTTCTAGCTGGACTACTATTTCTTGCAAGTATACATGCTGGCCTTGTGGTATTGACGAACCTCTAAAATCCAGATAGATTTGTCTCCACTTAGTCACAGTGCTAGAACTTCTAAATGTTGAATTAGCTCATCATGGCAGTTTGAGTATGAAGCTTGTTTTAAAGACATCTACTTAGATCTTCAAATGTATCCCCTGGAGAAAAATAGGCCAATAAACAGATGAACGCAACTAATGGGATAGCGTACCTGCATGTGCCAAAACATTTGATCTTACAGGAGTAAATTTTAAGTCATTCAAAAGAGTTATTCATTCTGCCGATTCTAGAACGTAGTAGACTAACATTTGTAGTTGTTGAAACAAATAGTCAGGCTGTGATAAATGCCCCTTGCACTCCGCATGATATTGCAAGAAATGCCAATTGAACCAAACATCTACATAGCACTAACATGCAGTTTCCTTGTTAGTGTTCAAGAAAATTGGCAGACAATTTTGACATCGTCGCATAATAGACCACATGTTGATGCTTCATATTTATACCTTGCAAAATTACCTGGATTCTAGCAAGAGCGTTCGATGCCTCGACAGCCCGGTGCTCCAATTCTACTTCTCTGTCAACAGCTGCCTGCAATGTGATAGAAAGTATTGAAATTTTATAACACAAGAAATTATGATAAAGACAAAGCAATAAAACGGATGCACTTCAACAAATTACCATCTTTGTAGCATTATGTGCAATACGCTCCTCTTCAGCCCTCCGCTCCACGGTTGAAAGTTCCTCTCGTAGAGCCTAAAATGTACATGGTACATACAGAGGTTAGATAACTTCATGAAAATATGAGGCTGTTCTATTATTCTACCCCAGAAAGTCTATTTCACTAACCTGGATGATCCTGGTTTCAGTAAGCTCACGGTTCCTCTTAAGGCCATCCATATCTTCCTAGTATCAGCAGAAAACAAAATCGATTTATTATTTGATAACATCAGTTAGGTTACAGAAGCCTAAAAACATAAGGAAAAGTGTTAACAGTCACCCATATAGCCATACTATTCAACATTTATATCCAAAAGAGATCATATCAAGCTGTACAACTTAAACACACAGGTGCTAGTTCCTGCGAGTAAGGGCCAGTTCTTTTGAGCATTAAACTCTGCAACTGTACAGGATACTGGCCACAATGTATGGTTTTCCTTTGGCGATGCAGTAGTGTTACAGAAAGATTAAAAAAAAACTTGAAAGAGTATGAAAGATGAAACCTGTAAAGATGCCAGCATTTCTTCTGAAGCTGCTGCTTTTTTCTTCCAAGAGTCCAACGATTTAGCTAGAGATTCAATCTCAGTGTTTTTTGCAGCCAAAGCATCAACCATGTTAGATTCAACTCGTGAACCTTGTACTCTGGACACCGATAGTTCTTGCTGTAGTTGCTTTATATGAGCTTCATGTGAGCTACATTTCTCTCTCTGTTATGTGTTATGAAATCAATATATATTAGAGAAAATCACTCTACCATGCATGGGGTTAAGGTAATTGGAAATAATGTAATGAGATGAATTTCGGTAAGATAATCTGACCTCCTGAACAAGAAGCTCTTCTAGCTGTGCATTCTCGGATTTATATTCTTGGAGACGGGATGAAAGTCCAGCACAGACCTGTTGATAAGTAAAACATAAACCAACAGGTCAACATATGGACTTAATCACAATAAAGGTAAGCAGGTAACATGGCAGAGTCACTAAGCTTATACTAATCATACCCGAGCTAATCTAGCTTCTTTTGACTGGCCAGTTTTTGCAGCGCTTTTTAGTAATCCCTGAGCCTGCCAAAGACCAACAAGACAGCGGTATAGTGTAAGCAGAGAATGCATTCACATCAGCATATCTTGGTCATTATGAGTGCAATTTGCTACAGCCTACCTCCTCAAGTTGGTCTTGATCCTTCAAAGGAACTGAATCAGACTTATGTTCCTGTTGATTTTGTGTGATTTCTGGTGGATCTGACAAATTATCTTTTTTCAAATCTTGGGATTTGCCAGAACCTTCTGTATCGGGTACTCCAGAGATAGTTCTCTCCTGGATAACAGCCACAGCTGTGTCTTTATCCTCCAAACTGACTGCTAAACCAATCTCAGTAGACTGGTTACTACTGCTTGGCTCATTTTTTTCGTCTGGAACTGAAGGAGCAGAGCTTTCAGAGGCACTCTCCAAATGTCCAGAACCTGCAACATGATCCGTGATGGGACCTGTATCCTCAGGTGTTTTCTCCATCGACTGGACTTCAACCGCATTATCGATAGCATTAGCAGCTGCATCATTTTTAAGGTCAACGGTGGCGTTCTCCACTTTGTCCGACGTGCTCTCATCATTCGCTCCCTTAGCATCAACTGAAGTGACTTCAGGTTCACTGGCACTGGGAATAGCAATAGCATCATCATTTGATGAATCTGCACGTGCCGAAGGTTTGATCTTCTCAATCTTAATCCTCTCACGCGGCGGTTGCCTGTTTTTCCTCTCCTTCTGAGCCGCTGTCCTGTTACCTGCATCCCCAGTAGTGAGCTTCAATGGACCCTGCAATGCGAAGTTACAGCAGACTTTAGACATCAGGTAGCAGGCACACGGCCTGCAAGGTAATCAAGTATGCTCAAGAAGTCTAGCCAGTTGCAACCTTCTCCCTGGGCTTTCCCCTCTTTGCTTGCCCTTCTTGGCCATTCGATCCTTCAGCAAACAAACATCAGCGATTACTAATATTCCAACTGGCCGAGCTGCTGGCTAACACGGGGCAATGTTTACCTGAAGGCTGAGGAGCAGTCTGCTCATCGGACAGCTCGGTGGCCACGCTTTTCGCCCTCCGGTCTACCACTTCGAGCAAGTCTGTTACAGCAAAAACAGGAAACTTGTTACAGCTCCACATTGCCAACAAGTCGATAGCGTAAGCAGGCAATGGGATGGCAATGGGTTCGTGTGGGCTGCAACTGGCCCGCCCGCACACCCAAAGGCGGTCGAACAAGGCACTGCATCAAGGCTAGCTCGCCAGATTCGCAGCCGGCGTCGTAATCCCACGCAGTAACCGCCGCGGATGCAGTGCTAGAGTCGAGGGGAGACACCCCAGATCTTAGCCCGCAGGACAAGTGGATCTCGGCGGCGAATCGGAAGGAGGGGAGGGGAGAGGAGGCTGTGGCGCGTACCTTCGGCGACCTTGAGCCAGGAGGCCATGGCGGGATCACCTCCCCGGCGAGAGGAGGGTGGCTGGCGACGAGACGGCGAGCTAGGTAGATGAACTGGTGAGATTTCCGGCCGCGGCAGTGGGGTTCTCTTCGCGGGATAGTTGGTGCTGGCGGGGATCGGAAGTCGGATCCGACCGACCGGTGGGTTTGCTTTTGGTGGATGGCATCATGGAATCATATAGAGATTTAATGGATACAAGAATGAAATTCTTCGCACATTTGCCAAAGCCCGTCTAGCTCAGTTGGTAGAGCGCAAGGCTCTTAACCTTGTGGTCGTGGGTTCGAGCCCCATGGTTTTCATTCGGTGCGCAAACATCTTATCCCTATAGCAAGTGCACGTGTGAGGCTTCTTCAAAATCTCCCAAATTTTGAACGATGCTTCTTCTTCAAAATCTCCCAAATTTTGAACCATTGGATCGCTCGTATGAATCTTGGCACACTGCCACGTCATGGTTTTCAATCGGTGCGCAAACATCTTATCCCTATAGCAAGTGCACGTGCGAGGCTTCTTCTTCAAAATCTCGTTATTTCCTTCGACAAAGCGTGAGGCAGAGCTAGCATCGTCAGTGGCATATATGAATCTTGGCACACTACCACGTCATGGTTTTCATTCGGTGCGCAAACATCTTATCCCTATAGCAAGTGCACGTGCGAGGCTTCTTCTTCAAAATCTCCCAAATTTTGAACCATTAGATCGCTCATATGAATCTTGGCACACTGCCACGTCATGGTTTTCAATCGGTGCGCAAATATCTTATCCCTATAGCAAGTGCACGTGCGAGGCTTCTTCTTCAAAATCTCGTTATTTCCTTCAACAAAGCGTGAGGCAGAGCTAGCATCGTCAGTGGCATATGTGCACCGACGTGCAGCTGCTCGTCGGGATTCACTGCGTGCCCAAGTACCCCACTACCTACCTCACCGCCATCGACACTCGCCAGCACCACTCCTGCGCCTTCCACTTCCACGCCTCCACCGGCCACAAGCCCACCTTTCGCGCCTCCAAAGCGTGCTCCCTTAACACTGCCAACAACAGCGCCGTCGGCGGCTCCTGTGTAAAGAGCCATGTCTCCCGCTCCCTGGCCGAGAACCACGCCATGCTACTTGTCCCCTCCTAGCCTCAACTCCTGCCCACACCTTGTTGCACGCGAACCCATCACCGCCTGCATCAGCCAATCACAACAAGCCGCAGCTACCAGCCCACATGGCAGGAGCCCGACCTTTTGCCGCCCTTTCCTTTTTCTTCGTTTGTTCATTCATATTTTTGGGGCCATTCTAGAATTTCCCAAATTTTGAACCATTGGATCGCTCATATGAATCTTGGCACACTGCCACGTCATGGTTTTCATTCGGTGCGCAAACATCTTATCCCTATAGCAAGTGCACGTGCGAGGCTTCTTCTTCAAAATCTCCCAAATTTTGAACCATTGGATCGCTCATATGAATCTTGGCACACTGCCACGTCATGGTTTTCAATCGGTGCGCAAACATCTTATCCCTATAGCAAGTGCACGTGCGAGGCTTCTTCTTCAAAATCTCGTTATTTCCTTCAACAAAGCGTGAGGCAGAGCTAGCATCGTCAGTGGCATATGTGCACCGACGTGCAGCTGCTCGTCGGGATTCACTGCGTGCCCAAGTACCCCACTACCTACCTCACCGCCATCGACACTCGCCAGCACCACTCCTGCGCCTTCCACTTCCACGCCTCCACCGGCCACAAGCCCACCTTTCGCGCCTCCAAAGCGTGCTCCCTTAACACTGCCAACAACAGCGCCGTCGGCGGCTCCTGCGTAAAGAGCCATGTCTCCCGCTCCCTGGCCGAGAACCGCGCCATGCTACTTGTCCCCTCCTAGCCTCAACTCCCGCCCACACCTTGTCGCACGCGAACCCATCACCGCCTGCATCAGCCAATCACAACAAGCCGCAGCTACCAGCCCACATGGCAGGAGCCCGACCTTTTGCCGCCCTTTCGCGTCTCCTGTCAAGGTCAACCGCAATCAAACAACCCATTCTCTCCCTTTTCTCATGTCCGCTAAGATGAACATATAATCGTCTTTCTACAAGGCGAGTTGTCCATGGTGGGCTCCAACATGCGTGAGAGTACCCCGCTGTACGAAGACAAGGGATGTCGTCGTGCTCATTTCTTCTGTGGGCGCTCTCAAATGTGTGGCTGCTCACCACCGAGATTGACATTAGGATCGTCGTTGCCTCCAACCTTCGTTTGTCGTGCTTGCAATCATGCTCGACCTCCCACGGCCATGGCGCGTGCCTTGTTTGGAGCGGAGAAGGTGCGGGGTGTTTGGTTGCCATGTTTGACAATGCACTTTGCCATGTCACAATGCACACAGGTGCTTTTTTAAAATTCTGGAAATTTCCATGTTCTAAATCATGCAGTCAATAATTATTGCAATGTTTTAAAATTTTGAAATTTGCCGCGTTTTTAGTATTTATACCATGCATGTGTCCAAAATTGTTGCCATGTATGGCAGAAATGCATGTCAATTATTTTAGATGGGGTATGACAACTAATTTAGGTGGGCCATGGTAACTTTTGTTAGTTCTAGGTTCATGGCAAAAAAAATGCTAACTTTCGTTAGTTGCTATTAGCTTTTGGTAGCAAATATGCTAACTAAATGGGAACCAGATGGCAAATTTGTTTAACGGCCCATGGAAATTTTTTGTTCATATAACATCATGGCAAAATTACACTATATTTTGTCATTATGGCAAACTTACACACATTTTTTGCCGTTAATGTCATTTCTTAGTACTATGGAAAGTACTTCGTACCCATCCTCGCATTTTTATTGTGTGAGGCATGGCAAGTTTCTCTTTTAAATTGTAGATTAAAGCACATTTCTTTCTTTGCAGCATGGCAAATCTTCTTGGGACCATGAAAAATTTGCTTTATGGATCATGGCAAATTTACTCTACGGATCATGGTAAATTTCATATCTTTTGGCCCATGAAAAGTTTCTTTTTTACAATGGCAGATTTTATATTTGAACCATAGCAAAATCATACTTGGATCATGACAAAAATATACTTTTTGGACCATGGAAACTTGTTTTCTTTACCATGGAAAATTTTATATTTGGACCATGGCAATTATATATTTGGATCATGGCAAAGTTCTTTTTTTTGGACCATGGAATTTTTTGTACCATGCTAAATTTATATTTGGACTGTGATGATTATATATTTGGATCATGGCAAAATTCTTTTTTTTCGAACCGTGGCCTTTTTTACCATGGTAAATTTATATTTGGACTATGGAAAATTTAATTCTTTTACCATGGATTTTTTTTTACTTGTTGGTCCATGGTCAATAATTTTGGGAACATTTTCTTTTTGAAATAAGGCAAAAGATTTGCCATTTCATCGATTAAGAAGAAGGTTTAGACAGGCCACGAAGTGGCTAGAAATAAAATTTACTCTCGCGGCATTACAACACTCAAATGATTAGCGCCCGCCAACGCCCAAAGCGACAACTCCTCTTTTATCTTACTAATGACGACCATCGTAGGTGCGGCCGTGTTGCGAAAAACTCTAGCATTGCGCTCCGTCCAAATTTCTCAGGAGATTAGCATCATTAGTGAGGTGAGCGTCTTGGGGGATTCATAACGAAGATATACGTTTCCATTCCATCATTCCCACACCGAGCCCCTCGCTGACCAAGTAGTAGTCTGAGTGTGATCCATGCCAAGCCAGCGCAGAATATCGTTTCACACACGAAGGGTATAGGGAACATGGTAAAGTTTGTTTTACATACCATGGCAAATTCCTTTTTTGTACATATTCTTTGTTGAACAAACCATGGTGAATTCATTCTGTACACCAGGGCAAATTTATGTTTGAACATCCGATGGCAAATATGTTTTCATAAGACTATTTCATAATTCATGAAACAATGGCAACTTAAGTTCAACAAAAAATGTGCGGTAATATCAATATAAAGTTTCTCCATCTTGCAATCTGTCTAGAATTTCTACATTTTCCAAACGGTAGAAGTCCTCCGTCTTGCTTTCTTTTTCTAAAACAATTCCTCCGAATTGCTAAAACTGCTCTAGAGAAAATAGCATTTCACTGCGCATATACTCAATATAGGTGCAAAACTGATTACATGAATGGACCGCAAAGAGATAAAACATGCCAGAAATCAGTTCTGAAGCAGCAGAGTATAAAACAAATTGCGTTTAGAAATTGCGTTTTTCCATCGCGAGAAAATGCATAGCACCGTTCAACAAAAGGGAAATATGCATCGAACCATCAAATGGAACTCAAAAGGTGCAGCCGCAGTGAACAGCAACAGCACTTATTTATCCAACATACGCCACAACCTTGGCTCAAATTGCACACATCCATCATCAAAGATGGATGCACACGAAAGGTAATAACGAATAGTGGTTATATTCATGGAAGAAATGTGCACTTAGCACAAAACAAATGATCATGAGCATTCTATGTATGCAGGACTGTATGTATGCATGTATCAAATTTTCTGTATCTATGCAGATATGAATGAAATAATTTGGAGAAGGATCATTCCTCTACATGGAGGTCGACAAAAATTCTGACACCAAATAAAGGTCTCCATCCACTCTACTCGATCTACAAGAACTCCAAAGTATCTGTCTGTTGTGTCATCCGTCGGCCGTCTTTGGCATGGATGTGCTTGAACTTCACTCCAGAGTCTCCAGTGATTAGTGTAGCTCCTCTGCTACACCATGCTGGGGTCTGAAATGAAACGACAAACCCAATTAGCGACAATCTCACAGCCATTTGATTAAGATTGGAAGGATGCAGTTAGAGAAAACATATAAACAATCAAAGGTGCAGTTCATGCCATGGTATGACCGTGCCTGCTTGAGCAGCGGCTGAGCAAAGAGAGGGGTAGGCGGCGAGCGAGCAGGAATCAGACGGACACGCCGGCACGCGCAACAACTAGGTCTGCCGCTCCACGACACGACCGGAGCGCGTCCTCCACCCTCT